CTGGTATACTGCAAAAGCACAGAACTGCTGTTGAAGCACTATTTCCCTGCCTCTCAGCAGAGATTTACAATTGCTACTCATTTGGCAGTTCACATTCACCTGGCTGGTTTTGTGTGCCTGAATGAATATTCCAGGCTACACAAAAAAACTGGCTGATTGTACACATGGAAATAAAATACCTAGAATGGGTCAGAATTCACAGGAATGCAAAACAAAATGGAACTTCCTAACACCTTGTCTAATGAGCCAAGAACCAAACCGACTAGGTCATTTCACACAGCTAAAAGGGAAAGATGAGAACCAGCTTATATCACTCCTACGTTCTTATGTTAGGCTTTATCTAATGTTAGGCTTTATCTTATGTTTAGGCTGTATTGGCACAGCTGATTTGTGCCCATTAGCTTGAAACATCTTCACTGGACTACTCCAATCCATTTTGCTCTCTTCTCACTTCTCCCAGGATGGCTGCAGGAGAGACTTTTATATGAACTATCATCAAAGTCAAGCTAAACCATTCTGGGCTAAAAGCTGCTCAGGAATCTGGGCCTTTGGAAATTACCCTCTATTAAGAACTTACTTTATAATCCTTTCTCTGTTGCTCCCCAGTCTATTAAATATTTTTTTATACTCCTGGGGACAGAAACTGAACTTCTCCACCCTTGCTGTGAAATTCTGACGATATCTTCAGTTACTTAAGTGAAATGGAAGAAACAGAACAAATTACATATATGTATGTCCACAAATATTATACATATATAATGTATACTGTTTTTTACAATGTAGTGATCCAACGAGGACACCAGGGAACATAAAACATTAACTGCAACTGAAACACATCAATTGTGCTGCCTCAAGGTGGAAAAACACCAATAAAAGGCCACTCTTCCTTACTCACCTGTGAAACTGCAGGAACAAAAGCAGTATTTCTGGAAAAACATTTGAGGAAGTGGAGGGAGGAGGAAAAACAGAACTTCAGAGCAAGTCCCCCTTTTTTTGTGACCATAGAGGTGTCATTTTTGTTAACCTCAAAATGGAAATAGCTCCATAACAGGCATACCACAATTACTGTCATTGCGCTCTGCTTCCTCAGACCTCACCTCCGTCAGAGCCAAAAGGAATAAGTGCCTATGCTGTCCACAGTTATGTCAGGAACTGCAGTTGTGGACGTGCTTTTGCAACACTGACACTTGTTCCTTTCCACTAGAGCTCAACACTTGAGGTCACCAACTGATTTCACAGAGTGTCCTCAGAATGTCATCCGAAGGCTGCAGCTCTGTCCTTGAAAGCAATTGCAATGGTTAGATTTTTCAGAGGCTTTCATAATTTCCTAGCAATGCTGTCACTAGGAACAGAAATACTTCCATCTGAGCTAGAGATTATGGATCCGTCGGCTCCATAATCCGGCTGGACTTTGGCTGAATTCAGCTGAGTATGAAATGGCCCTGCAAAATACTGCAAGACCTGGGAAACAGGAATGGTGACTGAGAACAGTTAAATCTGAGACCACACGCAGGAAAAAGGAGCATACTGGCCCACATATCTGGCCCCGTATGTACAATTTATTGAGACTATAAATACTGAAACAAACAAGCCTGGATGGCTTCTGGCTGTCTCCAACATGCCCAGAAAAAAGAAACTTCACCAAAATATTTAAAGGACCCATCAGTGAACATGCAGTAGAAAGTGTATTTTACAGTAAAAGGTTTTCCATTTGACACCATCACAATTACATGCATAAATACTGTATTTTTACAGTAACCTGCATGTTATCTCACTACTACAGAATAAAAGATAAAAAACAGTTTAACTTAAGCTTACACAGAATTGTTTATCCAGGACTAACAATTTCCTGTTTCCTCTACAGATGAAAACACTGTGGAGATAATACAGACATTGCTATGTATCTAAACCAAACAGTTTCTCAATATAGCACATCTCAATATAGCACCATGAATGGGTACAGATCAGCAGTAAAAGCAGAGCAGCTTCAGTCAGCTTTGCCTTACTTGGCCTGGGTGTGGAACACATATTTGAAGCAGCAAAGCAAAAAAACATTGGAAAAAAAAGGAGAATTTCAGTATTAACTGAAGGATCAGCAGTGAAGGATCATGAGAAATGTCTCTTGAATTTCTTGAATCATGAGGGTGTGATTATGTCAATGTTGCAATTACTTCCGCAGGATGCTATGTATAAAAATACAGAGCCACTAGATCATTACATAAGCTTGAGTATAAGGATTATAAATCTGAGTAACAGAAGTACCCCTACAGACATACACTACTAGCTCCAAAGCCCCATTCACAGTAGCACCTGCTAGGACTATCTTCTCCTAAAACCTGTTTTTGCAAATCAGCTGTCTGATCAGAAGTCTAGAACAGTGAAACGCTTTCTAGCATAATGGCGTATTTCCTTCTAATGAAATGGCAGAGAACTGGCCTTCATTAGCAGTACTCTTAAACCAGATTAATTTCACTGTACAAGCTTGTTTTTCTATCAGACAAAAGTATGTACAGCCACTATAATTTCATGTTATTCTTTTTGTCCAGTCCTACAAGAGTTGTTCTGAGTAGAATTTTTATGAACCTTCTTCTATTCTAGCTACTTCTTAATTTCCTACTGTTTAAACCTTTTTACTTTCCCTAAAAAAGAATTAAAAATTGGAAAGCTTGGGAGCAACAGAGCAGTGTTTCTGAAAGAGAGAGGCTATAACAAACTAACTGTTAACATTTGCACAATTATTTGAGGAGGGCAAGGCTAAACTGTTTCTCCACGCTTCCCACATTAAACTGAAACAGATGTGGATGGAAGAAAGATAAGTACACAACAGATGAAGACAGGCTCACAGCCAAAGGTAGGTCTGCCAAGAGTAACAAAGGAGGCAGAAGTAAAGAAGGAAATTTGCAGCACTGTAGCTGTTTTGGAGAACTTAAGGTGTCAGGAGTCCTGCCTCACTGCTTCTCACTTATCAGTCCATTCCTGGGTATTAATATGCTGTACCGCTCTGCTGTGCGGAGATGTCCAAATGAGTCATTTAATACATCATGCAAGTCGCAGCAGAAGTGTGGATGTTTGCTAAGAACCACCTTGCTCTGAAAACTTTACATCATAAAAGGACAAGACAAGGTAGGTAAAGAAAAGGCACATAGTAAAAAAAAAATTACTTGTTGCAGGTTACACAAAGACCTCCAACATTCCAACTATACCCACTGACAAGATGGACTTCATGTTCCTGGTCCTGCAGAACATACTGGAACACCTCTGGTCTTAGATGAAAGAAGTTTTCTTTCACAGAGAATGGCATGTCTGTCTCTTTAAATAATTTCCTGCCTCTCCAGCTCTCTCTTATTCAGGAACAGCTCCTTATGAACTCTCTCACAGGACCAGAGCAGCAGGAGAACGAACCAGAATGAAGTGGTGCAGTTTGTACCAGTATGCCAAACCTTGGCAACCTATTCCATTGTAAAAGGGAATTACAGCCAGAATGTGCGAGAATGAATTCTGCAGAAGAAATTGAAAAATTAAGTAACAGTAGCCTGGTATGAACACTTAAGTTGCTCTTTCTCAATCAGCGAAGGAAAACGTTACAAACTTTTAACCGCTAATGTAGACAAAGGTACTAACTACTGAAAACTTCCTAAATTGAAGGGCAGATTTAATAAGCAGTGGAAATGCTGGATAACAGAAATGGTAAATGCCCAGATCTGAAAAAAGCACCCCCAGTTAGATGCAGCAGTTAAAAGGCCTCTCATGTAACTTTGATTATAATTCATCTCCACTACCAACTATGAACTCTGCTATTACACTTTAAAATACTCTTTTTAAACCCCCAAAAAGGAATTATACAACACAGAGATAAAAAACATCTAAAACTATAAAGCCAGGAATCATAAATATTTAGAATTCCAAAAAGAGGTATCATATATTCAAAGTGGTAAAACACAAAACGTAACTTGGAAAAAAAAAGAGAAAACTGAGTAAAAACTGATTCAAAGAAATGCAAACTTAAGAGATTTCTTTGAATCAAAACCAAAACTGCTGCTTCTTTATTTCACCAGTTAACAGAATGATTTTGCTAACATATCTCAAAGCAACTTCTGAACAGGAGTGGAAGTCTCAAAGGCACTTGATTCTTTCTTACAGAAGGAAAAAATATTAACTGGGAGTATGCCATAGAAAATTGGTTAATTATACTTTATTAAGTGACTCTCACCAGATGTTACACATCAGCTCATTAACCAGACAATGATTTAATGGCTGTACTCAGCTGTAATTATAGAACAGACATTAACAAAACTGCATTTAACACAGGTAGCTCCTTCTTTAAATTAGTTTCACATGCTATTAAAGCTACTCAGCTTTTTCAAACCACAGTTTTATGGATTGCTATATTATCTGCAATTATTACTAACTGCTATGAACAATCATTGCAATATCTCTGGAACACATCTGTTGCTGACACTATTTAAATGTGACAATTTTATGGTTAAAAACGCTGTACTTCTTATTGAAGTACCATTACCTGTAAGTGACTGATAAAAGTCTTCTACTTTTATACTGGGAAATACCAATTGGCACTTTATCTCATAGAAGGGTTGATTTGTATTTTCTCTATGATAATGGGCCAGTTTATGTGTCCTAAGGTATCTAAAGTAGCAGTTGATCCTTAGACAGTCTCAACTGGATCAGGGGATTATTCATGTTATGAAGTACAATGCAGACACTCATTATCAGGCATTCATGTGGCTGGAATAGCTGAAAGCCTGTGGCCAACACATGGGATGCAAGCTAACGTCTCTTACATAGGAGGGAAGGTTCTCCTTTACATACCACACCATCTGGAAACAAGGGGAGACAATAAACATCTCACTTCCAGTAACAAACGAATTTCAACGGGCCAGGCTATAGTATGTATGTGCTGTGCAGATATGTCCATACCCAACAGATGCTGGTTTTGGTAAGAAGAGTGCATTTTCTCTATGCTGACTGCAGGGGATAACACATCAGAGAAGAGAGACATTTTCAGTCTCTAGGAATGATGATGTAATCCCTGTTTGTGCCATGTCCATTGTAGCAGATACATGTACAGCCTCACAGGCTAAAGCAGCAGGCGGGGAGTGCGCTGTGCTGTGGAGATAAAAGCTGGAGAAAGAGGAAAAAATTCCAGTTAAAAAAACCATACTTAGAAACCATTCAAGACTCAAGCATGCACCTAACCAAGAACTTGCATCACTCATTGGTGGGATAATTCTTAAGTTTTGTTAAGACCTAAAGTGCTGGTATAAATTCTGAACATCACAGCCAGCGTGAGATGCATAGGAAGCATTCCCACAGGGTCTGATGACTACCTGACCTACATTAACCTTAGCTTCAAAAACACCCATACCCAATGCAGATCTTCAGGAAGCTGAAGTTTTGGCACTGTCCTTATGCATATGAATTGGCATCACATATAAAAAGGAAGCAAAGGATTAGGCTGAATAAAGCAAGGTGGATGTGTGATAAGGTATCTTAATAATAGCAACTATGGGCTAATGCATTTTTTAAATGAAAAAAACATCAGCAGTCAGGCTGTGTGCTTTGTGAACCCAGTGTCAGACTTTTGCTTACTGAGGAACAGTTAAAACTGCTCTAAAAGTGGGGATTCCTAATCTGCCCCATTGCAGTAATGTCATCCCTGAGGCAGCAGACATGTGGCAAGCTGCTGAGTGGTTGAATACAGTGGCTCATTGTGAAAGCAGCTGCAGAACAGGAAACCTTACAGGGACCCCAAGAAATAATCCAAGACCATTCACCTGACACCATGGCATGATCAGCTGTAGTTGTGTGATTCCTGACAAATGTTTGTTGAACCTGCTCTTGTAGACCACTCAGAAGCCAGCACTGGCAGCAACCTGTTCCCATGCCTCCTTCTCCTCCTGTTCAGAAGCACATAGGTGGTACATATACCATGGGTGCTATGGAAAGGAGGAAGTTGGTCCTTCTATAATGGCTTTTTGTATAGTTGTATATCAGGCTTCTATATCAGGCTTCTTGCCAGCCTCTTCTCTGCCAGGCTAAGCAACCTACTAGTAGATTACCCTACTCGCAGTTGGATCAGACAGATCTCGTGGTCTCTCCTGTCAAGTTCCTCTGCCTATTTCTCCTGATGCGCCACATCCTTCTTAAGAGTACAGTGCCTAACACAGGACCACAGCTTTACAACTGGACAGGGCAGAAGGCTGACTTCACGTGTTTTTTCAAATTACATTCTTACTCAGAAGTGCATTAAACTGATGCTTATTGAAAACTAGAAGAGTACTTGTTATTTATGAACATTACAGCCACTTCTTGTGAGCACTGTGAAGGGTCTTATGACAAATGACATCTGAGGTTTTCCCTTCTCTGCCTTCTGCTGGGATGGGGCAGCTTTAATTTCTGCCTAGGATTCTGTCTCATGTTCTCTAAAACATGAGGAGAATGGATTCAAGAATTTCTTTGTACATGGGGTCAAGGGCCTAAAAGATACGTGTTGAATTATCAAGTCCTGGCCCTCAACATTACACCACATTGCAGCACGACCCCTGTCAAATGTACTTAATGTACTCAGCTCCCTAAGGATGTCACCTCGTTTTTGTTTCCTCTCACTCCTTTCAGAAGATTCTACACTCATTCACAAGTGGTTCATACTCATACACAATTCTTCCCGTACTGTCTATTATCTTAAATAGCTCTCCTATCACTATGATGCGAATTGATTTGACAGAGTTTTAAAAAGTATTTCTATCCCTTACACATTTTGGCCAGAGGAACTGAAATAACTGAGGAGCCTTTCACACCATGACAGCCTAGGGACATCCCTCCTCCTGCAATAAGCCCTCTGCCACAAGTGCTAGTTTAGACACCAAGACAGTTATAGCCCCTTCGCCTCAAATGTCAAAGCTAACTTTAACAATGTTTATCAAAAGATCAAAAGCAGTCAAGACTGCAAGCTCAAGTTTACCATTGCATCCTACTGCCAAGGGAATATGGAGATCCTTTAATTACTTAAAGGAAAGAAAGACACCGTGGAACCTTCATTTTGGAATTTAAATTGTAAGAACTGATTTGAAATTTAGACAACTACAAATAATCCGACTTTCTCCATCCCTGTATAAGACTAGCTCCTTCTACTTCTGAATACCAAATAAGCAGCTTGACTGATCAATGCTCTATACTTCACAGGCCCCAAGCTGGAGGGTCCCGACCTTTCAGTCAACATAAGTCAAAAGACTATTAGAGACAAACATATTAAAACAACAATAAAGATGTATTTTTTAGTCAAGAGATTTTACATATACACAGACATTCACAATTACTTAAAGGCACATATTTGTTTTACCTTTGAAAGGAAGAGAGTTATAAGGTTACTGCCCCTGCATAAAGGATTACGAAACAGAAAGAAATCAATTTCATAAAAATTTCTAAAATGTTTTTATTGTGGCCTTTAGCTAAAGATCAACTGTTACTGAAAAACAATCCTTTTAGACCTTTTGAATAAAGTTGGGAAGACTAGAAACTGGGTCCTCACATGAGAAAAGTACATCAACATTTCTGTTGGTATGACTTCACTTTTAGAGTAGCACAGAATATAAACTTCATTTATTTAGTTACCATTAAATCAGAACACCTCTGAACTAAATTCCTGGTGCTACTCACTGCCTGAATCTTTCCTTTATTAAGATGAGCCCCGTAGTGAAGCAGATTTTTCACCAGTGACTGCAAAGATATTGAAGGCATCAGTTCAAGCAAGGGACAGCATTATTGGTCACTGATGGAACTCTTGATAATAGTTTCTCACCACCCAAGAGGCCTGACCCAAATAGCCTGGAAAGAAAAAATATCTGAAAAGAAAAACACATAAGCCTTATGCAGGAGGACTAGAAAACTGGAGTTAATAACGATACATACCGTGCTGCTGAGAACGAAAAGAACAGTACAAGGCAGACAGCAGCAACTGACCCTAATCCAACACCAGTCATGTACTGCAGAGTGGGTGACAAATCTGAAAGAAAATATCAAACAATTCAAATGAGCAAATACCAAACAGTGTAGGTTCAGTCTAGTCACTAACCAACTGAGTCTGCTCAAAGCTGAAGTACTGCTCAGTCAAGTAGTAATGGAGTTGACTACCTAGTAGTTACCATCCAGTTGAGGAAGTAAGATTAAATAATATATTTCTCAAAAGTGATTATACTTCTCCATCCCTCAGTTTCCTGTCTTTTTCTTTCCTTTTTTTTTTTTTTAACCTCAGATACTCAGTGTCAACATTTTCCCCTCTCATCACTGGCAATTTCAGTCTAAATGATACGCCAAGGTGGTCTCTGGTGCCAGAAAATCACAGTGCTTTATTGAATGGCTCAGTGCACCACCTTCAAGATTTTGCCATCTGGGCATGATTTCTCTTCCCCATTCTTTTATTGTTATTTTTTTCCAACTAATAGAATGGAAGTAAACCTGGCAATGACAGCCTTACCCAAGCACATAATACCAGAAGTCACCCATGAACAGAACAGAAAGCTTACAGTCATTGGCTGTTAAAACCAGAATTACTAAGAACTACTGGTCTTGCAAAAATGGCATTTACTCAGTGAAGTTACTGTCCACAATGAGAATCCAAGTCGCTGAACATCAGAAAAGCAACTTCTGTTACTGAAATTGAACTCTTTTTTGGCTCATCTGAATATACAAGCACAAAACTGGCTGGGCATTCACCCGAAACACCCTCAGCAGTGAGTCTGAAGCAAAAAAACCTTAATAACATTTTTAGCATTATGTTCCCAAAGGCTCATGTGGGGGAAAAAAAAAAAAGAAAAAAAAATTAAAAATCATAGAGAGCCATAAGGAGAACCTGACCTGTTTTACCATCTTTGCCTACCACTGCTCAGTGAAGCAAGGCTTGTATCTGTGCAGCATGTCTTACCTGTAAACTCACTGCGAGTCTGGTAAAATAAAGAATTTCAGACAGGGACCCTACACGGAAAATCTGTTCAACCTACAATCATGCTGATTTTTGGCAGAAGTTATACCTGTTCTTATATCATTGTAACACCAGTTTCCATAAGCAAGATATGTATCTCAAAGCAGATGTCAGCCCTCCATAAAAACAAGAGAATAGTCTTCCCTAC